GGGGAGTGTGGCGGTTGCCGTGGCAGCCCTGTCGCGCGCTGACAGCTGGGTGGCGGGCGCAGGATGGTTGAGGCTCACCCCCCAGAGGAGGATAGCCCTGGCGGGGGGCAGATGGGGCGAGGGAGGAGGGGTGTGATCACACAGGGCCTCCTGCCCCTGCCCCTCTCCCCCGGGTGGGGTGGATGTCCCCAGGCCTGTCTGTGGAGGCCTGGCTGTCAGAGAAACGGTCCCGTCTCTTCCTTCCCGGGTTCCCTGCTTTGCCTGGCGGGTCAGGGCAGGCCGGGATTGGAGGGTCAGTCCTGGCTAGGCCTCTCTCCATCACCTGGCAGGAGTGGGGGATGGCAAGGTTCCTTCCCCGTGCTCAAGTGAGGAGGAGTCAATAGGGGATGGGCAGAGACCTTTCTCGGCTGGGGGGCTGGGCACCCCTCAGCCTGGAGCCGTAGATTATCCACTGTCCAGGGCCTGTAGGTGAGCAGATAGTTGGAAAGAGGCAGGGAGATTCCTGCTCAGGAGGTGACCTGCTCACACCACCCTAAACCTGCCTCCCTTCCACCCTGCCAAGGATAGGAGGCTCTGTCTTCCTTCAGTGACTCCCTTCCCAGGGTCTCTCCACCCTGGGCCCAGCTGGACCTTCCGCTTGGGAAGCTGAGTCCCATCTGTCCAAGAAGGCCCAACTTCTATAGGGAGTGACCAGATGCCCAGAAGGACCTGGTGCGGGCAGGGAGACCCTCCAGGTTTGGGTTCGTGAGGCCACGTGTCAGGCCATGGTCCCCCACCTGTGACTGACAGCCAAGAGCCAATGTAAGGGGCAGATGCCCGTTCACAGTCCAGCACACAGTGGGGGGAAAGAGACAGCCTCTCTCAAGAATCAGGCTCAGGCGTGGGAGCAGGGGGAGCTTGCGGTTCCTGGCTCAGCCTTTTCTTAGGGGGAATGACACCCCAGTATCCACTTGGCAGATCCCAGTGAGAAACTGCTCAAGAGCCAAAGGAAGAATGGGCAGAAGGAAGCATGGCGTGGAAGGGTTTAGGATACTGGCCTAAGACACACAGAAATGTGAGTCGGGTTGGGGGACAGTTGTGCAGAGAGGTGGGGTGTGCCGACTTGGCAGGTCAAGTAAGTCCTCACAGTTGCCGGCCCCGGGGGGCCCTTCCTCTCATGAGCGCTGAGCACCTCTCCCGTCCCCAACCACTGTCCTGTCCGGGGGAGTCGGAGGCAGCCCCCAAGTTTCATAGCGAGACAGTTTCCATGAGTAGAAATACGTTTGCTTCTTTGCCACCCCTCTTCGTAGCTCCAAGTTCGGTGTTGGGGGTGGTTCTCCACTGCACCATGTCTCAGGAAGGTGTGGAGAGGGCGGTGTCCGCAGCGAGAAGTGGTCTCCTCTGCCAGCCAGTGTCCCAGCCCCCTTTCCTGGTGGGCTGAGTCCAGCCTTAGAGGACAGCCGCAAGGTCCCCCCACCATGGGCTGAAGAGGTCAGGGCAGAATGGGATTGTTTGCACGCATGCCCAGGTTGTCCTGGGCCTTCCTCTCATCCCCACTGCAGGGGGAAGCAGGGGCTGGTCAGAGTGGAGGAAGAGCTCACAGCACTCTTGGGCCTCCGTCCCTCACTGCTGGCTGACGGTGGGCCTCTGGGTACACAGTCTTGTCCCTTCAAAAGCACAGCTGGTGTCTACTGGCCCTTGTTCCCGTCCAGCTTCTAAAATACAGGACCCACCTCGAGTTACCTGCCTTTCGTGGCTCTGTGGCCTGAACTGGGCTCATTTCTGCCATCCAAGTACTGACCAGGCCTGGCCCTGCTTGGCGTCCAAGATCAGACCAGATTGCGTGCCTTTGGGGTGGTATGGCCACAGGCTCATTTCTCTTTTACAACCCATTCCCCCATTTTTTTCTCCCTCCTTCCTCCAGAATCCCAGAAGGCAAATCTGGTGGGGAAGCTAAGGAAGGTTCTATTGGCTTGCCTCTCTTTCTGCTGCTTTTCTCTGACACTAGAATGGGGGCTGCTTTTCTCTGACACTAGAATGGCCGTCCCTTCAGCCCCCTGACCTTCCATCCCCTTTACTCTGGCCTGAACAACCAATTTAACTGCTTCCCTGTGCGTTAAGCCTCTTCACACCGTCTCCCTGTTAGCCGCCTTTCCCTTCAGTCTCTCTCTCCTGCTCTGCTGGCATGGAGACGGAGAGAAGCTTCTGAAGCGCAGGCTCTGTCCAGATGAAAGGAAAAGGCTAGGTAGGACCCACGGGTCAGACTCGGACCTGTCGGGCTCATTGGGTGTGGTGTCCGGAGACAGTTACTTCCTGATGGTTTGAAGACTAAAGTGGGATATTCTAGGGTGCGCGATGTGGGCACCACGGAGTGCTGGCGTCTGCCTGGATCTTTGGGGACTGTTCTCAAATCTGACACCGGGCCCCACAAAGAGCTCAGGAAACCCTGACCATAAGGGCAGGCAAAACGGGGACTATGGGTTGTCATTGGAGAATATGGGGTGTCTTGGTTTTCCCAGAATGAGGAAGTTCCTCAATGCCCCCATAGGAACTACTTTGAAAGGTTAATGCAAACCTTCGAAAGAAAGGAAGAAAGAAGGAAAAAAACAAAGGAAAAAAAATAGAGGTACATGTCTATATATGACTATACGGAGCCTTGTAGATAAATACAAGCCCCCTTGGTTTTCAGCCTAACCTCCCCCACAGAGGCTGCTGAGCTAGTTGTGAACCCAAAGTAACGAGGGGCTGAAACCGCACGCTTCAGCACGTTTTTGGAGTCACCCCAGAAGGGCACGTCTTTCCGACAGCGGGGCGTGTATGGATTTCTAAAGGTCTGCACGGGGAGTGAAATCTACACACATGTTTAATATTCATATATCTGCTTAGGAAAACCTACCTAGCTAATCTCACTCAATTGTAAATTCGCTTTGTTTTCGGAGGAATGGAATGCATTTTCGTTTCTGTGAATTTGGGAGAGAGACAACGCTCCGCCGGGGGAAGAGGAGAGGAAGGTCAGGGGTCCAGCCGTCTACACTGCTGGCCAGAGGAGGAGGCAGATCCAGGGGAGACCCTGGCGGGTTGTGCCCTTTCCTTTCTCCCCCTGACCGACCCAGTTGGGGGAAACTCCAAGGGTGCCATCGAATGCCACATCTCAGGCTACACCTTCTCTTGCCCAAACCTCTCCTGACCCCGGGCCGGGGCTGGACGCGAAAGACGGGCGCAGCCCGGGTCCCAACGCCTTTCCTTCCTGTCCGCCTGCCTGTCTTCCTTTCATGCCTCTATCCGTCTTTCCCTCTCTTCTACACTCACGCTTCCTTCCCTCCTCTTCCTCGCATCCTTCCTCTCTTCCCTTCTCTGCTTATTCAACTCGCCTCAAAAAAGAAAACCGTTTGAAGGGGGGGAGGGTCTCCTTAGCTTTCTGTGTCTCTGCTGTCGCCATTTTCAAAAGTGGAGCCCTTGCAAGAGATTCCGAGATCCTCAGTTTCCTCAAATAGATATATAGATTATTTTTTTTCCCTTAAATGAGATGAAATGAGTGGCGTCCTGGGGTGGAGGGAGGCGCTGGCTGGAGTCGGGGCTGGGGGTGGGAGGGGGCGAGGGAAGGGCGGGGAGGGGACGCGTCACTCAACGTTGCTGCTGTCGAAGGTGTGGCACTGAAAGTCCCCGTCCACGTACTCCATGCCTGGCAGCTTCATCCCGTACTTGTCCACACACCAGCAGATGCCACGCTTTCGGCCACGGGAGGGCTTGCACTGGGGGTGGGTAGGGCAAGAGGCAGTGAGGACAGGCCCCGGCCCCTCCAGGCTTTACGCCCACCTGTCCTGCCTCTTCCTCCCAGCAACATAGACTCTCGTCCTCAGGGAGTCAAGGGGCCTCTTCCCAGCCCCTGGGTTCTGGTGTTCCAGGGAATAATGCAAAGTTAGACGGCCCGTGCTCGGCTAGCCCCTACAGTCTAATTTTTTTTTTTTTTTTGAGTTGGAGTCTCACTTTGTTGCCCAGGCTGGAGTGCAGTGGCATGCTCATGGCCACTGCAGCATAGACTTGCTGGGCTCAGGAGATCTTTCTGCCTCAGGCTTCCAAGTAGCTGGAACTACAGAAGCATGCTACCATGCCCGATTAATTTTTTATTTATTGTAGATACGAGGTCTCACCAAGTTGTCCGGGCTGGCCTTGAATTTGAGGACTCAGGCAACCCCTTGCCTCAGCCTCCCAAAATGGTGGGATTATAGACTGAGTCACCAAGCCCAGCCCTGTCTCGTTTTTTTTTTTTTGAGTGAAGTCTCACTCTGTCGCCCAGACTGGAGTGTAGTGGCCGCTCCCGGTTACCTCAGCCTCCACCTGCTGGGCTCTGGCGATCCATTCGCCTCAGCCTTCCAAGTAGCTGGAACTACAGGCGTGCGCTACCATGCCCAGCTAGTTTTTGATTTATTGTAGAGATGAGGTCTTGTCAAGTTGCCCAGGCGGGTCTCGAAACCCACAGGCTCAGGCAATCCACTCACCTTGGCCTCCCAAAGCGCTGGGATTACAGGCTGAGCCACCAAGCCTGGCCCGGTCTCGTTTTTAATGTTGCCCATTTGGGTTTCCACAACCTGGTACCCTCTGGGGATTTTCAAGAGAGTTACATGATCTGATAGTAACCATAGTAATAAGAATAATAATGATGATGATAGGAGACATCATTTATGCAGTTTTATCATGTACCAGACAACAATGAACACTTAGTATAAAGTAGGTCCTTTTTTAAGTGCCCTACAAAGATGAATCACTTATTTCTCATGCTCCTGTGAGGTAGGTACTGTTTTTTTTGGGGGGGGTTGTAGTCTCACTCTTGTCACCCAGGCTGGAGTGCCGTGGCACAATCGTGGCAACTGCAGTCTCAACCTGCCAGGCTCAGGCAATCCTTCCACCTCAGCCTTCCAAGAGGCTGGAAAAACAGGCACGTGCCACCACGCCCGGCTAATTTTTTGATTTACTGTAGAGATAAGGTCTGACCAAGTGGCCCAGGCTGATCTCAAACCCATGGGCTCAGGCAATCCTCTCACCTTGGCCTCTCAAAGTGCTGGGATTATGGGCCTGAGCCACCACAACCAGCCCAGTAGGTACGTAATTCTCCATTTTACAAGAAACTTTAGGGGCACTGGGACATTAAATGATTAGGGTAATGGGACACAGTCAGAAAGTGACAGAGTCAAGATTTGTCCCAAGGCGATCTGGCTCTTAAATTCTTACTAGTGGCCGGGCTCAGTGGCTCAGTCTGTAATCCCGCGCCTTTGGGAGGCTGAGGTGAGTGGA